CCTATACATGAACTTCTACCAATTCCTTCAGCTTCAGGGTGAAATGCTAATGCTTTTGTAAATGTAAACCTCACAAGAAAATAATTTTTAAAAAGTGGTTAATTTGTATAAAGAGCCCAGGACTTCTCTGTTAAATCAAGTAAAATTAAAAATAGAGGTCATTCTTCTCCAAAAGTATGAAAGCATGTCATCATAAGCATCATGGTAGTAAACCTAAGCTCTGTTTGCAACAAAGATTATTTCTGAATCAGAAGACTTAAATTACTATTTCTAATCTCTCACAAGCACGTGGGTTTAAATGAGAGAAGTGCTGTTAATCAGTACACCATTTTTAGAGATCGAAACCACCTTAGGATCAATTAACTCAGGGGCAGCTATCCTCCAGCTCACAAGTCAGACACAGACAAGTGTCTGTTTGTCCATCTGGCCAAGGTCAATCCTTTTTCCTTGCTCCCTGAAGCCCTCTCTGCAGGAGGTACATCATGGAGCAAATGACAGCCCACTCTCTGCTGCTATCTCCCACGGGCCATGCATATTCCACAACAGGAGATAATGAGACAGGGAGTTCTGCAGTACCTCAAAAAGAGGCAGCGGGACTTACTCACTAAGCAGTCTGACCATGCTGCATACCAGAGGACAGGAAAATGTCCCTCATTTTCAGTCATACTGAGCCCAACAACTCTTATCTGATTAAAGTTTATATCCATAAGAATATCCCATCTCAGACTAGGTGGGGAAAACCAGGAATTTAGCAAACACCAATAGTCACCTAGGCAGTTAGAAGCATGTCTGGATTTGTGACTGTTCGATTTCCAGCCTTTGGTTTCTATTCTACTCTTTTCACTGAAAGAAAAAAAAATCAAGTCACCTCTCCATTGCTTTTAATACCTCTCCTTAACCAGGACAAACTTAAGGTTTTTCAAGAGGCATTTTCTTTCACCCTCAGATCATTTTCGGAGATGCAAGTACCACACATTTTCAAGTTGTTTGGTGGGTTGGTTTTTTTATGCTGATTCCATACCCAAACCAATCCCATTCTCACAATGCGCACACTGCTATCTGCTGTTACTTTACTGCTACATCCTTGCTTATTCAATGAAGCACTTATTAGTCTTTTTGTTAAATGTCAAAGTAGAAAATGGTCATCCAAACTTAAGAGGTATTTTCAATGGAATAGTGTTGAATTCTTGAGGATGAAATGAGACATCCGTCTATATACAACTTGCAAACTGACCTGCTGCTATCCTGTGGAAACACTCCAATACTTTGGAAGGTATGCTTCACAGCCCCAAAGCAATGGAAAGTCATTAAACCTGATGAACTTCATTCAGCACCTAGGGGAAGTTAATGACTTCAAATGGTTGCTGAAGCTAGGAAGCTAATTCCACTGAACTTCTCACAGTGTAAGAAAAAAGCATAGAAAGCAGGATAAACACGGTATGGCAAGAGATTATAAATAGTTCACAGAGTAAAGAAAGGCTCAGCCTGAGAAACAAAAAGCCACGGGGAAGACAGGATCAGAGGGTGCACTTTATAGGAACCGAGTTTGAACTATCGGGACCAGACAAGGTTAAAGAAAGCTGACTTTGGGCACACAGACTCAAAAAAGTCTAGGCTATCACTCCATCTTTCACTCACTCCACCTCAGAACTACATAAAATAAGTTTTCATCAGGTCTGTGATCATGTTTATCCTGCAGGTGCAACATCACTAAGCTTAATCTAAGGAAAGAGTATGTGCTTCTCTTCTGGCAATGGATCAAATTAAACCACATTAGGAAAGATCTAAATTACAGCCTAATACTCAAAAAATGTTGCAGTACAGTGAAGAAATTGAGACAAACACATACAATATAGATATTTTGCATCTGTTTGTGCACACCACCTTTACAACTGTCATTAAGCAGCACTGTTTTCAAACTTAAACCAAAGGGTGCATGAACTACCTCATACCCCTGTTTTAGCAGCAAAATTTGACCTGGCCTTGAAATAGATTAGAAATAGTCACATGGTCATTCACAGGAAAAAAAAAAAAAAGAAAGAAAATTAAAAACCTACTATCACTTTTGAAGTTAAGTTCTACTTTCTATGTCAGATGCTGTGCAAGTCTTCAACAGTATGGATTAACTAGCAGTTAACATATCTAAAATGCATGTGAAATTTGTACCTTGTCAGGCATGCCACAGACGAATTCATAACTGTGCACTCAGTCACAACTGTGCAGACATACCTTTAATGCCTTCCCTCAGGCTTTTCTTTCTGCCTAAGAGGCATACAGTCCTTCATGTCAGCCAGTTGCCACTTGCTCATAGCTTGAAAACAATTAGAGTTTCTACAGAAAATACATGCATGTATTATTTCGGCCATCTGGTTCTAAAGAGATTAATGGCCTTTTACATCAATCATTACTATGGGAATATCTATACCGCAGGCTGAATGTAGACAAAAAAACCTGAAAGATCCAATACTGCTTTGAGGCCAGCAGGACTTATTTTGTACCTATTTTCATTTAAGAAAATTTCCTATTAATATATTGATCCTAAGCTTAACTATTAGATTATATCAATGCAACACTTAATAAAGGGATAAGTATCTTGATGTTTAACACACGCACTAGCCTTAATGCCCACAATATTTTAGAAGTAAATCCAAACACAGTTCTGAAACCCAAACAAACATTTGAACTTGACAGCCATACACAGCTAAATATGGATTTAGATCCTAACTAGTAATCATCTCATTGACCTTGGTGAAGTTTAGGGATGCCAAAAGTTATAATCACTCTACTTCCGCTGAAAATATCAAACTTGGTCTTCTGAAGTGGCCAGTGAATAACTACGTTTACCTTTAGAACTGCTTAGTCTAGGACACAGTAATTCCAGTAAGTGTTCCAGCCATTTTACCAAAGCAAACTTCATCTCAAGAAGTTGTTTTCCCCAGTCCAAGTACCACACAATTAGCATAGGGACATGCCAACAAGATCAAGTCTACTCTAACTTTCACCACAAACATAGGAGCACATGGTTAAGAACTGTTCTTTCAATGACAAATACAGGTTATGAAGCTCCAATGAGATTTTTTAATATAAACACCCCTATCTGCTTTGTCTTTTGGGGCAACGGGATGCAGGGGGCAGGGGGGTGGTGGTGGAAGAAATCACTAAATGGAAACATTCCACAACTATGCCTGCTTTTTCTGTTACTAACATTAGTGAGTCTTATGCAAAATGCTGCCCCTCTTTGGAAATACTTAGCTCAAAAAAATAAACACACTTTATGTCATGGTTCTTAATCACAGAATATGCACAGGCTAGAACATGTTAGCATAATCTTGTGGGTTGCTAAAAATTAAGCTAATGGAAAGAGGCTATTACAAAACCAGTTCCATTATAAACCAGTTGAGGGCAAGCCTACTGAAAACTCAGATCACTCTTTTGCAGCCTCTGTGGAATTATGAAACCTAAAATGACAGCGCCTTGAAGATGTTTCACCAGGTCCTGGATTCCCAATATGCGTAGGGGAGGCATTGTCAAGAGCTCACAGCACTTGGCAAAGCAGATATACACGTATCGTAAGATATACTTAATTACCTACTGCAAGTCCACACACTACAATTAAAAAAAAAAAAATAGTTGATGACTGCTATGTATGCAACACCCACAGAGGCCCTCAAAAGAAAAGTCTGTTGCTCAAGGCCTCCAGTTTCTACCTTTGGAACATACGACAGTAACGTAAAGAA